GAAATAGCAGTTGCATGTAGTAAATTTGTGTGCAATCTTAATATTTATACAATTAAATTAGGTAGAAGGAAGCAAATTTGAGGTAAACTTGAGGATATAAAGTGGGCTTTGTAGTCAACAAGGAACTAAGAAAATACACACAGGAAACACTGGTGGTGGGATCTACCGCAAGCAACGTGGAATGCGAATCACAGAAACTGGTACACTAAATTAGACGCACTTCAAGGAGAGCGTCCACGGTGATTCCATGTGCTCTGCTCTCACATTATCATCCGAGCCACTTCATCAGGCATATGCTGCAACATTAGGAATTAAAAGTGATTGATTACTTTAGGAAGATTGAACAGATGAAGGACACGCTGCTACTCGCGCCCAATTTTCTGCATACAGCAACACATAATAGGGGTTGCTATGGAACAGGACAATGGCTGAAGGAACTTGAAGAGTTCCACACGTTATTTAAATTACATTTGTCTGCATGTTCCATTAATTTATGTACCTTATTGGGGGCGGGGCATGTAAAATGCTGTGAGCGTATGATTAAATAATTAAATTACCGTCTGCTTACGTCTACTTCGAAGCTTCAAATTGCCTGTTGTATTGAAAGACTGTATTCCTAACGGGATCTGAATGTACCGCTATAGAATTTTGTAACATGTATTAGATTTAATTTTTATAAAGTAGGCTACAATGAGGAACAGAGCATGTGGTTTGTTTCTTCTGCAGAAAGTTACACAGTTAGGAGCTTCATAGCTTGTAGGTCCTAACATTCGCTTAATATTATGAAGAGTGATCAAACAGGGTGATATGGGGAAAGCAAATAAGACGCTTGGAAGAGATGAGAAATGCAGATAAAATTTTGATCTGAAAACCTGAAGAAAGGAAAACGGATACGAGTCACAGTAATTAACAAAAAATTGAAAAACGCAACAAACTTGGCAACATGGAACAAGTAACGTTGCCATTCGTTAGGAACTGGAGCCTGGGCCCTGCTGCCATCATCCAAACACTGCGTCGTACCTGACGCCTCGGTTCAAATTCTGTGGCCATCGCTACGGACGGCATTATGCCCTAGTCAAGGGGAGAAATAAAGCAATCCCTACATCGAGACACGGCGCCGTAAAGAAGTACAGAGAATATGAAAGCGAAGTGCCATACATTAATAATCTCTGGCATCAGAGAGGGGGCAGGCAATTGTTTTGCTTCACGGATTGTCGTGTGTATTCCCGATGTCCAGTAGAAGGAGACAGGCTCATATTCGGGGTACTGAGGCGAGGAAAAGATCCCAAGTCATCACCGAGACTCAAAGCCTGGTCTTCGAGTCAGTAATCCGTCACATCTCGAAGCTATCACGGCTAGTAAATGATTTCATATGGTTTTAAAGACACGCGTCAAGCGGACGGAGGTGTGTTAGTCGTAAAGTCCGAAGTCTGTTACGTACAGTGTGTCAACAAAGTCAGGGCAACTTTATGATATTTTCAGTTCCAACGGAAAACGACTGTTTACTATGGCAAAGATGCCAAGTGACCTTAGTCCTTAAACTATGGAAGAATGTATCGTAACGAGCGCTTGAATACATAAGCGGACCACAAAATTGCAAAAAGCTTCTTTTTTTACCCGACTTCCAAACTTACATTACGACGCGTTCTTCACAGTGTAAGAACTAAGGTCGCTTGGTGTGTTTGCCATGAAAAATAATCAGTAGCGCTGGTTGCTTGGTTAGCTCGCGGTTTATTTAACGACTCTGTATCAACTGTTGAGGGTATTTAGCTTCGAATGAGTTGTTTATTCGGTTACTTTATGACGCTGAAATTACGTGGCTTCAAATTATATTACATGGGTCGATGATTAATGAGAAACTATGTGAGAGGAAGTGGTCGTGGTTCATCTGAAGAACTACACGAAGTTTTACTTGGTGAGATGGAGTAAAACCTTGAAATAGGATTTGAGACTTTCGCGGCGAGTACAATCAACAAAACAGGCGACTTCCGAGGATCCAGTCACATCAGAACCCTGTAGATGGGGACAGAGTTTGTTCCCGAAACGTCGGTTTACTACGGTAACCAGCTAACGCGGCTGATTGCCCGAGAAGATTTTATTAAAACCATGAAATTCCAAATGAACATAGTCGGGATTCGAATTTATTATCTCTCGATTACTTGAAAAATGTGCCAAAGAGAACTAAAAGGGCTGGAAAGGAATCACTCATGAACTTCGTAAAGATATTATCCCAGTATTCGCTTGGAGAGACTGATAAATACCACGAAGAAACATCTGTCAGGATCGTCAATGCTCTGACCAAGATCCCATCCGCCCGTTGTCAAAATAATCGTTGTGCCTTCATCCACAGCTTACATTTATTTACAGTACTACGCCTATTACCCTTGTAGAAAACAATAAGACAAAGACAAAGAAAGATCCAATGAAGCTCGTAACAAAATCTAACTGACGATTTAAGCCAAAGAAGAAATAATTAAATCTACGTTATGGTTTTTCGTACTATATCATCGAGTTTACACGAGGTCGACTCAACCATTTTATCAGATATCAATGCTATTAACCTTGGTAATCATAGTTCTTAATTAAACAAAACAAATGAAACTCGGCTTGAAGCGGGTTTCAGTTTCGTTCATGTGGTGCGTGGTAACTAAATTCACATCCGTTTGACACCAGGCGTCTAGCTGTCCTTCATTTGCCTTCCGTGACGTCCGTAGTGACGCGGACAATTAGGTAACGCATAAACAGTGCCGCGTCTGGGTACCAGCATCCAAAAGAGACGAGGTTTGCACATACACGGCTGTAAGGCTAATTCGGACAATCAGCGGTATGGCGTTTCATATAATACAGTCACGATGTTGATTACAAAAAGTGTCCGTGATATTTCCTGTAATACAGACACTAAATTAATTCTTATAAATATATAGAAATATTTCCACTACAAATATTACTGTCTGCTGGGATGCTACACTTTGAAGTCTCATGAAAGTATACCGACATTTCAGATATGGTTACTGTCTCTGTCTTTACAACGATTAAGATGATTGCAGTAGAAAAAATTGACTTAATTTAAAAGGACGTTTCGCTTAATTTAGTTATCTATGTACACGTATAGGTATGTATTATGTATGATTAAGGTAACACAGAAAGGAAATTTTATGGGAATGATATCAGATGCTTATTAAATCATTGCATTTCCTTAATAAATGTCTGTGATAATTCATCATGGATAATTCCTGACCATGTCATCAGATGTCTCATCTGTCCACACAAACAAAATATTTGTCATCATTCGGGCCGACTTTATAGAATTTTAGGTGTTCCCCAGTTCTGCGTTACAAATTCTCCCGGCAGACAATCTTAACGGATTCGAAGACGCAGCCGACGAAAAAGGATCGGCACTGAAAACACAAGGAACAAACTGTGTGGAAATACAGTGAGTTTACTCGCCTCTACCATTCTTGAATTTCAAGAATCTCCTCAGTCAAAACAAAACTGACCACATACAACTCAACCTGTTCCACTGTTTATCAGAAATACGGAGGTGAGAATCGTTAAGGGGAACTAAACATTCAAATTTATTAAAAATATGTATGAAGAAATGGTTTAAAAAGTAAACTGAATACTAGGGAAGTTCAGGGGGTGCTCGGCACCCCTAAATTTATTCAATGGGTGCATCCACGCAGTCGGCGCCCATGGTCGAAATATAGATCGAAATAACCCTTACCGCGTATCGTTATTAAGTAGAACACATCCTACGACTAGTGGCGGAAGGGGGCCTGTTATAATAACCGACTTGTAAAATTATAATTTCTTCCTTCCTTCTGTGGTCTGATAAACATCATAGAATATGAAATGTTTTCTATTTCCTCAACAAACACAATATCCATCCATGCCTGGGACCGCTAGTCTGCTGCTTCCAGTACGAATGGCTTATGTCCACAAAAATATGTCAGTAATATTTTATAGCGCTAAACAAGTTTGTAGATTCCAAACACTGTACATCGGAGAATTAAAAAAAAACTATTAAGATAAGCGATAGATACACTCGGTGGAGATTCAAAGAGTCCGAAGGCCTCTGTCATCACAGAACAGCAGGAAGGAACATCCATTCCCCGCGCAGGAGACCAACATCGCCATTCTAACCTCCGTGAAAACCTCAAATCTCAAAAGTTGCCAAAAACGGAAATGAGCCTGAAAATAGGCGCGGATTGACAATGTGAGAAGCCGAAGCCAGGACATCAGACATCAATGCGGCATCTATGAAATAAAAATAACAAGATTTAGACTCCGGAGAATTCTAGTACCACCCGTACAATAGTCATTCAATTCCATGTTATTCAGACATCGGAAATGTGTAATATTAATATAACGGTATTAAATAACACGTCCATCCGAGAAGGGCATATAAGGTTCGCTTTCTGCTACCAGGACAGCTTAACGTTTGAACTCATCAATGACGCAAATCGTACTCTGTTGGTTTACTGGCCTGAATAATTCGAATTCAGTTCCCACGATAAGACTGTCGTCTGTGTCACTGTAACAATGTAACAAACTTCTGAATCCCATAGCTTATCTGAACAGTACTTAAAATGTTGGTTCATGTCTCAATGGAAACACAGCACTCCTCGGTAGGATTCTAGGTTCTGACAGCGGGGTGTAATCTGTCAGGGCGATTTCCCTGATGATGGAAGAAGCAAGGACCTTTGAAACGTCGGTAAACTTCTACCAAACTAACACGGTGCTACAACCCAGAAGACGACCATCTTCGTACTCACCCCCGAGAGAACCTAAAGTCCAATTATGTTACAGGCCTATAGGATGAGATGATTTTATGAAAATCTTGTGCGTATAGGCCTACATTTTATTTCACCTTACCATCTCATTCTCAAGTTTCATAAAAAATCACAGGTATATATATATAGTTTCTTATAGATTAATCTTTAGAAAGGATAACCATTAGTCCCTGTGGTAAAAAGATGAGACTGGTTCTTGTGTTACAGAATGTTGGACGAATACAAGCCGGAGTTAGAACACGATTCGTCGAGCCAGCAGACAATGGTGAACGTCAGCAGTTATGGGGGCACCACATCGTCCACTCTCAGCTCGAACCTCTCTCCATCGACGTCGCCAACTCTGCACCATTTGCACCATCTGTACAGCCCACGCCACCATCCTGCGTACGAACACCATCAATACGCCACAGACACTGACTCTCCCACTGCGATGGTAGTTCCTCAAATTGCCCCGATGCTCCCTAGCGTTCTGCCAGGTTCGGCAACCCTAAATCATAGACTGACCCCAAGTGAGGAGTGTCACTGGTTGAGCAACGGCTCGCTAGTGGGAAGTCCTGGTGGAAATATAGTTGGATCTGCTGCTTCTCTACACCATCAGAATTATCAGCACCATCTATCAGCGGGAGATGTGAACTTAGCGGGTAGTGCTGCTGGACTTAAAGTCGGGGTCCACCCTGGACAACATCACCATCATCACAATCACCACAGTCATCAGCAACAGCAGAAAGTCTTAAAAGAGCAGAGAATTCGAAGACCCATGAACGCGTTTATGGTGTGGGCTAAAGTGGAGCGGAAGAAGCTGGCAGATGAGAACCCAGATCTTCACAACGCCGATCTCAGCAAGATGTTGGGTGAGTACTCTTGGGGTTTTGGGTGGTGGTATATGACGGAGCACTAGAATATCTGACGATTCACCAAAGGGCGTATTGTTGTAAAGTTGTGTGTGCATTCATGAACTATGCTTATTGATACGGCATTATAATTTCTAATTATAAAATTAAATTGTAATATGTATTACGGTTTAAAAATTAACAGAGTAATTTCCAGAAACGAGTAATAAATGTCAGCAGTCCAATAAAATATTAAATTTAAGAATTATTGGAAAAGTTCAGAATATAATATAACATAAATATGAAATTTTATGAGGTAGGAACAATTTAATTAAGGTAACACAGGTAAACAAGATGAAAATACAAAAATTGTGCTGATCACGTTGTGAACTGTTCGTTGGTGTGTCGAAAAGTTTCTTTAGTTTAAAATGACAGAGCACGCGGTTGAGACACAATATTTTGGCGGATCGTTTGCCGACGTTTCGGAGATCTGTCGTATCTGTTTGTACAGTAGGGAACAACGCGGATGAGGCGTGTCTGATGGCAAACATCCGATTTAAATTCACAATTTTTATTTTTTTCAAAACTTGTCATAAAATTCTGAGCGCGAAATGCATCATATATGCATTTTTATGGGACGTGCCATGTGCTCGGTAAAAACAGAGTGGACAGGCCCCAAGGGAGATAATCTCTCATCAATAAAACACTGCCAATGGCCTCTGCCGGCACAAAACGTTTATCTTGTTAAGTGTTACAAATTTGATTTTAGCCGACTGACTACGTGGAATCTGGTGCCAAATGAAGTGGATAAAGAATAGACGTAAAAGAAACAACGGGACGAACAGAATAAAATAAAACAGTGGAATAGTATAAACGTAGAAAAAGTTTCATAACAGACAACAATCACAGGACACTAGGAGCAAAACCGAGAACAATTTGGTTGCAACGAATTACAAAGCATTAGAAAAAGTTATTTGGATAAAGTGATATAGAATGAGTGACGATTACGGAGATGGCTGTCTTTGGGATGTAGCACCTTGTAGTCTGGTAGATATTGACCAGAAGAGATTACTGCATAATTGAGCTCCTCTGAAACGTCGGTCAATATCTACCAGACTGTAGGGTGCTGCATCCCAGAATACAGTTACCTTCAACGCTTAAAACGGTCTGCAGGGAATCCGTGAAAAATGTCAACTTAGGAAACGGAGAAGTGCTTGTGAGGATGATTTGTGGACAGAAGTGGATCAGAATCGTGACCAATGGTTTCTGAGGTGTTGAACCTCCTATTTCTTCTATTGAGGGGTTAGCACTCTTACGCCGCTACTATGAAATTGCATTTTGCACTCTACAGGCAAGTACGTAGCCTCGTAAAACATGGCGGCTATGCCAATGCCGAATTACTTTCATTCGTATGAGAGCACCGTGAATCAGATCTTCGTTAGTAATTTCCACGATTTTGGTTCTGCTGCCGTGGTCCAGTGGGAAGTGGTGAAGCTCAGACCTGTAAGTACACTGAGCCAATAATTTTAAAATTTATCGCTTATCAAGTGATATATACCTAAGACTTCCGCGCAGGTATCTGCCACCTGTCTGTACGTCTGTCAGTAACCTGTGTTCCCCCACCACCTCCACCAAAAGACAGCAGCAGAGCTGGAAAGTTTATAGAGCCTCGAGGAATGTTTGATAATTAATACGACAGAATGAGCGTTTGTCTGCCATTTCTTTTTGCGACTAAAAACTCACTACAATTAATTGCTGCTCTTAATCATTCTGTTAACGCTTCCCACTCCAAATTTATGTTAAGGGTTTGCTTGCTGTAGGACCAGAGTTAGATGCATGTATACAGAATGCTTGTATGCTGATTCTTAGAGCAGAGGTCTCATTGGGAAGCCAACAGAATGCCAGATAGTCATGGAAACCGAAAGTTCCTTACCGTGTTTTCAAGAGCCCGCCACCGGTCCCTATATGAGCCAGATGAATCCCATCCAAGCAAGACGAAGCGTGGTGTGGCCAGCTTAAAGAAGAAACAACTAATCAGTCAGGTTGAATGCCACAAGATATGGTGATTTGAACAACTGTAAATATTCACACACACGAAACTTTCCTCAAAAGTAATTGAAAAGAACGTCTCTTCAAGAAAACGTATTCTGAGAAATGACACTGTTGCGATCTTCGTAAGACTGTAAAATATATTTTAGCACTCAGAAATGAAATAACCCAAGTCTTATGCCATCACTTTATCTTAATATTTCCTTCGACAAGTAACAGTTAAAATCAAGTATATGTTATCTGTTTGTTAGTACACTACATAACTAAACCGAAGACTTTTGCGTTGGTGTTTCTGAAAACTTCAGCCATGCATGCATTTACAGTGATTGCAGAAGCCTGCTTGCCTTTCAAACTAGTTACATGGATTTTGAGAAGCCATAACATGAATCCTGCAGGCTGGTCAGAGCAAAAGTGTACACTCAGTTCGACATAATTGTGGCAAAAAGTAGTGACGATCTCAGATTCACCGTCAGAAATAAAACAGAAGTAATCCGACGAGACAAAATGTTGTGTAGTGTACTGGAAGATGCCCGTACCCAGATCACACTCAATCAGAAAGACAGCAGTTATAAGGACACAAATGGGCAACTTCACAACAGCCTCACAATGTTTCTAAATGTGTGTTTAGTAATGTGGTAATATTTGTCAACAAAATATTATCTAATCACTTTGTTTGAGGAAGTTCTCGATACTCGATGTCTCTTTCGTACCTCAATCAAGATGTCGAAGCATTGCTCCACTCTGATTTCAAGCCAGAGGCAGTTTTGTTTTATTGACTGTCATTTAAGTAGACTACGACTCATCACCGCTGTTAGCACCACGGCCGGGCAGAACAAAGTGACTCAACCTGGAAGTGCCCGGTTCGAATCTCGTCCTTAGGCCTAACTCCTCGCCTCCACAGTCTCTCAAAACGAATGCCGGCCAGCAGGTTTTAAATAGGTCACGACTGATTTCGCCCCATTCCATTCAATTTCACCGAACGTGTTTCTTATTTCATGGCATTCGATCTCAAATAACCTCTACGTATGATACAGCAGCGTTATATAACCCACAATCTATCCAAATTCGGTTACTATTTTGATTTGTGGTCTTGAACCGATTCGAATTTGATATGAACTCCTGTGGCTGTTCGTGGTTTTCCTCTCGCCCTTCAGGAAAATTCCCGGATCGTGTCTCTATACGGGTCACTACTACTGCCTTACGAAGTCACACTAGTTCACACCTTATATCATTTGGCATTAAATAACTTGTACAGATGAAATGACGTCGTTACGTAATCTAACTGTAAAACCAAATCATTATCATGTACATCAGGAGAACCATACAGCCAGTTTAAAAGACAGACAGACAGACAGATGAAAGTTAAACAACTATATGAATCTAATCCTTCTGTCAGCCAATTAATATGTTTATCTGCCTGTCAAGTTTCATCCGGCAAGTTTCGCCTATAATGTTTAGTTAGTTTGGATGTTAATTAGACGGCAGAATGAGTGATTGGTCTATATTAGTCAACGAAATGAAACTGTGATCGTAAAACACGATGAGTACATACACAAAAGTATGAATGCCAGAAGAGAAATTCGAGTTTGCTGTCACAAAGAGACAGTTTTCAAACAGATTGTCACTTGATATGCAAAAAAAAAAATTCCGACTCGTATGTTACAGCTGCCAATAAAATTAAAGACTAATGTTGTTTTCAGAATATGTTATTTTTTGTTCCATGAACACAAGTGCATCTATTTCTCCAAATGCGTTATGCGAGAAATGTTAATAAAACAAAGTCTGATGAATGAATTCCCGTCAGTGTTCAGTGATCAATATGATTCGAGTGTACAGACGATAATAATAACAGTAAAGAATACGATGAAACGAGAGTGTAAGAAAGATGAAGTATGAGGAAGGGTGGAAGGAATAATTATGAATGATGATGAAGAAAGAGAAATGGACGACGAAGAAAAAAGGAAAAATTTGGTTACACTTTTCTTGCTCTCGTAAGCGTTTTATGAGGTTCAGTAAATCGATCTGGTAGGAGGCAGAACCACGAAAGAACGAGATTATTATATGGTGCTAGGTCATGCTGAAGAAGGCAACTGCATAGGCAGGTTGGCTGAAGAATTTGTTGACAAGTGGCCTTATTCATGTTTCATTCGAAATACCAGTCGCAATTACAGCAACGCTGTGTTGGACACTACCCATTGTCCTATTCCTGCTTCAAAAGCTGACATTCGCTCAGCTCTTAAAAAAATCCACTGCTTGTATGGAAACCGGAGATTAATTACCGTCTTCACAAAAGCCCATCACTAGACCCTATCACAAGAAAGCTGGATCCCTTGCATTATGGAACCCTGGGTTGTGACGCCATAAGGGCTTCTTTCTGATAAAGGCATCGCCTCTGTCTTCAGATAATCCAGTCCACACCCTAAGAAGCTATTTAAATCATAACCGTTTGAATGTTGTCCACATTTATGCGACTCTCGCGAACTACAGGTTTACAACCCTTCTGCACTAGCCCATAACGTGTGTGGGAACAATCTTAATCACATTATTTCCCAGTTATAATTATCTCAGATAACGAAATTCCTAAAGGCGATAAGAAAACATAATTACCATCAACTCAATTTATAGGTATATATTATCTAAATGTTCTCAGCTGTAAAAGCACTAACCATTTTAAAATGTGGCTATATATAAAATATTGAAGTGTGATTGCAGTGAATGGATGACAAAAGACAGAAACAATTTCGAAAAGAAGTTCATCAAACAGTCTTTACAGCCTACAGGCAAAGGTTTATAGAAATATGCCCATTCCCTTTACTAAGTCATACCAAGAAAAAGGCAAACAGCATGACTGGCAAAAACGAACACTGCTCTCTCACGGTCAGCGGTACCACCGCGGAAGTCCCGAGGCCACCACACAACAGCCAAGACTGTCTTGATTTTTCTCAGTAACTTCGACCTCTTGTAAGGAGGTC